TAAATAACTTTGGCTCTTACGTATTATCGCAACAATGCCGATGCTCAAGATAACTTGCCAAGTTGGCAACCCCAATTACGTGCTGAATTGACAACCTTGTGCTTCGTTTCATAGAATGTCGCCAATACGGTTGCGATAATACTTAAGTACCATAACTTTTTATGCTAAATACATTAATCTATAAGATAGGTTCCCAGAGCGTTTCTTAGTACTCCTGGGGGTTCGTGAAAGAATTAATATAAAGTAAAATATTTGTAGCCCATTTCAATTATTATGAAAGTTAAAATAAATTAGTAATGATTATTACTTGTTAAAAAATTTAGAGTAACGATTAAAAATTTTAGGATAAAATCTTTTTTTATATATTAATAGGTACATAAAGTACAATTAATGAAAAGTATCGCAATGGTGGAAGTCAGGTCGATCGTGGGTGCGACCGTCTATACAGGTTTAAATAGTAATTTCGAAGTTACATGCAACAACTTGACTAAATATAGCAGAATAAAAGCGTCGTATATATACATCTAATCAACAGTTTAGGTTTGTTTTGTGCATTATGCTGAGATGTAAGAAAATGCAACAAATTTTTCTTAGTTTTTAACAGAAAACTGTATTATTCTTTGTATTGTCCAAAGATAATCTATCTCATTGGCTTACCCCTCTTAATGAAAAAAAAAAAAAAAAGATGTGCCGAGATGTATATATATTTTAAAGCACAAAATTATAATATAAATAAATACTACGTATCTCAATATTTCATTTATACTTAATTTTTACGTCGACATTTACCATTCAGTACGTCAAAGTTAAATTTATAGTTTTTCTATTGTGCATTGAAATAAGAGTTTCACTTGGGAGCTTTTGGTATAAAAAGTGGTTAATGGGCTTTTGCCGACGGACCTCATAATTCTGACCTATGGTCATGTGACGAGGACGACACCTGAGCTGGCACCTCTCTCTCCTAACTACCACACAACACCACACCAACCACCAATTATAAGAATTGAAGTACAAGTCGTAATAATGCTCTTATGGTGTTGAGCTGGGGTTCTTAAACTTTTCGGTGTTTCAACTCATTTTTTTTGTATAAAGATTTTGTGCCCCCCCCATAGGAATTGCGCAATAAGTGCAAAACAAATAAAATGAATTTTTTCATTAAAACTTAAGTTAAAGAGTACTTCGTTGTACGTATTTTCTTACCTTGATTATATTTGTGATACAATATGTAAAACTATTCGTTAACGACAAACAAGTCATTTAATGCAAAAAGACATATCAAAAATCCTAAAATTTTTGGCGACCCCAGTTGCAAGTCACGCTACCCCATTTGGGGGTCACGACCTCTAGTTTAAAAAACGCTAGTAAAGAGGATATACTTCCTATGTCACTTCTCAATGTTCTAATTTGGTCATTATTATTTTCTGCAATATTCTGGCTTTCCTACGCGTACCTTATAGCCGCGGTAGCCTAATGGTCATTGTTACAAACTGGTGGCCGGCGTGTCATGACCTAAAGCCCTTGTGGCACTGAAGATCCGCCGTGTAGAGAGGCTGATGCATTAAATCTTTCGAGCTCAAAGTTCTCCCGTTGGCGTGACCCGTGGTAGTTTGGTGAGAGGGTTCCACAGTGTTCAGATGTCGTCCACATCACTTGACTGTGGTTCAAAATTAAGAGGTCTATCGCAAACAGCCCTAGTGTTTCTTTATAGTGCGACGTTAATATAACGCTATCTCATTTACTTGTACCTAACAAATAATCCTAAATATTTTCCAAATCCATGTACTTATTTATTTTTTAAGGGAGAATTAAATGTATTTTTTTTAGTTTATGAACTATCGATAAATATGGGGAAAAAAATTTGTTGTGCGACTGAAAATTTCGCTTAACCTTCTCAGAATACAAAATCTGAATTTTAAATTCATAAAATCCAAAACTCATTTTAATAATAAGGAAAAGTTTGAATTTAGATTTATATTTATAGCATGACCTATAAGCCTTGCACCATATGAGTCTAGAGTAAAGTCTATAAGTTATGGTATATGTGTATCATTCAAAATGATATACACACACATTCGAATGGGCATATGTCAATTTTTAAATTGCCGTACATTGCGTTGTGACTAGGTTTAAAAACGCTATGGATATTTGAAAAACAGAACCATCAAAAATGAATCTGAATTCTCCAGAAATGCAACAAATAGTTTTAAATCAGACATTGTAAAAAACAGCTATGTCTATAAACATATACATCTCATACGAGTATTGGAACTATTTGAAATTCAAATAGCGTTTTTCTTTTTTCAAACTCGAAATATGATAAATTTATAGGTACGGAAAAATTATGGTTCTGAAAAGGTTATATTGAGAATGAGTGATAGAACAATGAAATGTTTTCGGGAGGAATTTCGAAATGATTGCTTTTGTGAGTTCTATTGGAGAATGAGTTTGAATATTAATATTTGTTAATATTCAAGGGAAAATAAATCATCAAATTATTTGTTTCATGTACGAGTTTAAAACAGAATAAGCTAATATATCTTTTTTAGCAGTGAGTTTTTAAGGGAAAATTGATGCAACTGTGAATCATTTAGTTAATTATGATTCATTAATTTCATTAATTCTTTTTAAATCGAAGAATATATCAACTTAAATTACCGGAAAATCACATGTTCAATTGTTCAAAATGCCGCCCATCCGGTATAGTGGTCAGTGAAGCTGACTGCGGTGCCGTAGGGACTGGGTTCGAATCCCGGAGAAGGCATGGATGTTTGTGTTGTAATCCTTTCTTCTGTCTGTGTTGTATGCCCCCCCCCGTGTTATACATTGCGTGGTGCACGGGGTTTATAAATGTTAAAAAAATGGTCAGTTCGCTGGCCTAGAGGTAACGGGCCCCTGTCTGGAAAGCCTAAGGTTGCAGGTTCGATCCCGGCCGGAGTTGATATATTTTCTGGATATCAAAATCGTCGGCATGCATGACATATGATTTTGTGGCATGAAAATTATCCATCGAGTATGAATTTGTTTTAGCTACTCTCGACAAAATTAAGTCACGGCAATATTTAGCTTCCGACGGCAGCTTAAGTTAAGAACAAATTCAAACGTCTAAATTTGGTAATGAACCCACCACTAGATGGTGCCACCATGAAAAGGTTTTCACTTTAGGGGATTTGCCGTGTCTGCAAAGGCTAAGCTGCTAAAAAGAAGCCTCACTGAACAAAATAACTGCGATATTTTAGTTATAGTTTCTTTTTATTCTAGATGACTCAATTCACATATTCTTGAATCACACGAAAGCTTCAAATGAATAAATTCAAGCTTCAAATATTTGGTAGCGGGAGCCGCTAATGAAATGGCCCTCACACTAAGAGACTTGCCATGTCTGTAAAGGTTATACTGCCGGAATGCAACTAATTTAAAAGAAAAAAAAAATTAAAATTTATTTGCATATAATCAAATTGTCTTAGTCATATCTATTATATTGATATAGAAATAGAGCTACCATGATCAAAAGTGATCAGATGACTTCGTTGATGAAAGTTTGAATTTTTCGTTTTTCGAACACTGAACCACTGATAAAACGTATTCTTTTTCTTAAAAGTATCTACTAATTTGAGTTTTCTTTAATCATATTGATATCACATGTCGCATTATTTTCAATGTTTCTGATCTTATAGCAACCTTGTGACTTCTTGGGAATAGTCCGAAAATTGTGAAATTCCTAAAATTTTCGTAGTGTAATGAACAGTGTACATGTAGCGTATATAAAATTCAAGCTAAAAAACAATAAAAATACACGAATTTTGCTCTTTATTTCTAAGAAATTAAATGAAATAGTTCCCGCCCACCCTCAGTTCTAGAGTTAATTCATTTAATTGGAGTACAGAGGATTTCAAATAAGAAATAAAGATAAAAAAAGTTAAAAGAAATAAAGTCATAAAAAATAAAGTTGTTAAATATTTGATAAAGTATATCAATAAGTCAACTACGTTTTCTTTTTCAATATATAAAATAAGAGAAAAAAATGCAAAAAATTTAAACCAATACCGGAATGCTAAAAAAAATTATATACATAATGCTTCATTTAACAGAACTCTATTAAAACAGTAGTTCTATTTAGAAGTTGCACCGAGAAAACTTTTGACAATCGCATGCTTCAATGAGTTGTTGCCATAAAAGCAAACGTAATTAAAAATAAAATAATAATAAAAGTTCTATGTATCAATAAGCCATCGTATTTTCTTTTCCAATCATAAGACTGAAAGTAGTGAAACAAATACTTGAATCAATATCGAAGATCAAAAAACAATACTTCGCATGACGAAAACCTACCGAAGAAGCAGTAACTTATAGATATTTTTTCTAAAGAAACTTTTTTGACCAATACATGCTTTTTAAATATATTGCCATAAACTCACAACAATAGTAATAAAAGTCAAGTTTCTAATTTCTAGTTTCTACACAATTTTTTTGTACTATAACTAGGGGAAAAAATTAAATTTAGGGGCGTCGTTATAGCAATAGAGCTATTTTTAATGATGTAAAAACACATGTGGGGGATTTTGAAATGATGTTCACTGATGAAACCAACGAATCTGAGTTCTCTTTCAATTCATTCAATTGAATGATATTATTTTAAAGCTTAGTCTATATATTGGTTAACTAGTAATTTTAAAGTCAATATCCTCAACCTCAGAGTTATTTTAAGAACCTTTAAAACAATTTATTTTGACAACTGGTGGATCTTTTTCAATTTCTACAATCAGTTCTCTCTCTCTCTCTTTATATATATATATATATCTTGTTCAAATTTCAATCGTTAATAAAATACTTTCTATTCATCCATTCAAGTTCAAATACATTTTTTTCAACTTGTAGTGGATGACATTGTAGTTTTTGCAAATATTAATTCATAAATTAAATTGAAAAATGAATAAATAGTAACAAACACGCACAAAAATAAGAGTACAACAGCATATATAGAAAGAAAACTTGTCCATTGTGTCCCTGCAGCGCTATGGATAGCGCGTTGGACTTCTAATCCAAATGTCGTGGGTTCGAATTCCCCTTGGGATGGCCTAATTTCTGAGAATGGGATTTATTTTTTTCCTATACTATTTTAAGAATAATTAATTTAATTAATGAAATAATAGAGTAACACAATCAGAAAAAAATAGTCCAACACCATATATAGAAAGGTAAATGAAAAATTGCAAGGAAAATCGCTTTCTATTGTGTCACTTAATATTGTGGTTTTGTCATAGGTATATACATATTTATATGAATTGTAATTATTTAATAAAAAGTAACTAAAATGAAATTTTTATTTGTAGACCTAAGTAGGAATTGATTAAATTTTTTTTTATATTACTTGTTTAGAAATGTGGTTTAACCAATAGAAAATTTGCTTGACTGTGACCAAGCTTTATATATACTTCCTAATATCAATAAACACACTTTTTTTCTTTCTGTCATTTCTTTTTGACAATAATAGAGTGGAGAAACCAAGTTACATTTAAAAGTAGGAAAAATTTGTGCTAATATTATATACTTACTAATAAATACTGCAATATTTCTCTCTCTCTCTCTCCTTTCTTTAACTATTTGAATTTTGGATATATAAGCTTGAAATACACAAATGTGGCATAGAATTTAAATTATATTTTACTTTACCTGTTATAACTAAAGTTGCACAGTTCCTGAGGGTTCACAAATGTTATGCATTTCATAAATCAAAGCCAATAACATTCGAAATCGATCTAGAGTGATTGATGTAACTTGCAGTAATACCCGAAATTACGTGATAGGTGGGACTGTATGATAACCGCGTAAGACGAATTCGCTTTAGTAAGGGTATAATCTTACATTTAAAATACACATAAATTGTTTTCACTTGGTGCCAGAGAAGAGAGAAAATAATAATTTAGAAAAAAATATGTTTAGTAAAATTTTAGATAACACAAATTCAAAATCGCAAACCAAAGTTATTTGAATGTAGAAGAGAGGGTGTATAAAACGTTACAAGGTAGTCTGCTGGTTCAAAGATTTTTTCCTCCCGCAAAATTTCCTCGTAGCATGCTCATATTTTTTCCTTTCCTTGTTTTTTTTGAAAAAAAAATGTCCTGCGTTGGAGTACGTATTTTCTAAAATTTGTAAACCTTCATTAATTAAACTGAGGCCTTCTGTCATTCAGTCATCCGATTGAACTGGGTCTAAAGACTCAAGTTCTTCAATGTCTTGCTCCTGCTTATGGATTTCTATGAACTCATCAATTGTCAACTCCTGATTGTGGGAATCCAGCAGTTCTTGAACGTCATCACTATCCACTTCTGAATTTATTGTTATAAAGTCTTCAATCAAATTACCGATTTCATCAGGGTCTGACACTGATTCCACTTGAGTTTCAGTTATGGAAAAAAAGGACGATTTGACGAGATTTGAAAATCGCATAAGTCGTGGTATCGTAAGTTGAAGTATTATTGTATTTATTAGCATGCATTTTAGAGTGGATCGAAAAAGTTTTTTTTCGATGTTTTAAAACCTACTTGTGGGGAAAAGACGTTCTCTAATAAACAGAGGAAAGAAAAAAATCAATAAAAATAAACTTTTTTATGTTAAGTACTGCAACTAGGGAAATGAAATTTAGGTATTTGAACTTTTTTATGGTAAAATGTCAAAGTAATTTTTATTAAAGAAAAACAGTCATTTTAGTACTTTTTAAGATTTATTGCGATGATAGAACATCTAGTAAATAAATATAAGTAAAGATATCAGGTAAATTTATTAGCTTCTTTAGCATTAATTTTTTAAAAAAAAAAAACCTACTGTCGAAATGACAGTGCAAGATGAAGTGGAAGATCGTAAGCAGCTTGAATTTGACTGATTCGAGGGTGTGGGGAGAGAAAGGCTGGTGCTATTGAAATGTTTGCAATGTAACACTGTATTACTCACTACTTAGTGTTCACGTATCAATTATCGAAGCTTTTGGTTATTTATGTATAAGAAAAATAATTTTATTTTGAGTCTAAAATCACCCAACCATATGAAGTCGGTTTCCATTTTTTTAGAAAATTCAACCTCTCTTTGTGGCAATACTAAATTTTGAAGCTATTTTTTAAAATTATTTTTCTTTTAATCTCCATACCAGAGAACATGGGTCGGCAACCTTTTAGCTCTGGCATGCCAAACCAATCTACCAATATGATTCAGTGTGCCACACAATAGGATATGTTTGAAACATTTCAATTGCCGCAATAATGCATGTCGAGTCAGAGAATAGAGGTTAATAGTATAGATTTACAGTTTTGCAATGTATTAATTTTATATCTTTTAAAGATATTTCTTAAAATAAAATATATTTATTTCTTCACCAAAAATACAAAAAATAATAATAAATAAATAAATAAAATGGTACACAAATATTTAGTATTTTTACAAATTATTTTTTAAAATAAGAAATAGACAAAATAAAACATAAATATTTCCCTTCATCATAGTTAAATAAAAAGATAAATACAAACTTTAATGGAAATCTAATGCTTGCACCATTCTATTTTCATATCACAAAATCAAGGAAATAATTTGTGACTTTTTTAATTTGACACGATTCTGAGCGTTCAGTTGTTAAACTATTTCTTTGCGTACTCGAAATATTTTTCATTTGAAGATAGATTTTCTTACTTAGCTATGTAGAACCAAAAGCGGAAAGTAGAGTACATGCAATTTTCTCTCTACAAACAATTAACATTTCTCCAGAAATGAGATTCAATAATTAACAAAATAGCTGTAAATTTCTCTTTGGAGTTATCTTTTAGATTTTTTCGTAGTTCCGTAAATGTCCTTAATTCTGAAGATGTTTGTCAAATAAGGTCCATTACAAATTTATCAAATTCCATCCACTCAAATATTGACAAATTTGTTAAGGAGGGCAGAGTGCCACTGAAAATTGTACCACGCGTGCCATGGGTTTCCGACCCCTGTCATAGAACATCTTTTCCATATAGGTAGGTTCTGATTTTAATAATATTCTGCCCCCCCCCGATAATCACGATTTCCCCAATTTATATGTTATAGAGAGCTTTCATAAAAATTTAGGTAAATTCAAATTGTGAAACTCAAGTTTTTATTTCAAAAGGATGAAGTAGATTTAAATTGTTCCCTTAAAGATTTGATTTTAAATTTTTTGATTCCATTCTGTTAATGCCCCGTTAAATTTTACAGAGCCTATATAGGAAAGTTTGCTGTTTGAAAAAAAATAAGGACCCCCCCCCCCCCAATATAATACTTTGGAAAACGTTTCTAATTCAGAAGTAAACATTTTCCTTTAAATTTTTTAAATTAGTTTTATAAAACATTTTTTTGTGTGTATTAAAAGATAAGTTAATTTATAAGTTAAAGGTGTTTTACAAAACATGCAAGGTATATACTTTGCATTACGTGTTTAAAAGATATAAAAGATAAAAGAGTATTAAGCTAAAGAAGAAAAATTCCATTAGGTTAAAATATTCTCAAGCTCTTGGTGAATATTTGAGTATGAATATTTGCAATGTAAATATCTTAAAGTGAACTAGAATATTTAATTTTACCACAGATTCATGAATTTCGCAACTATTTTGTTTGGGTAAGTCAAATAAATAAATAAGAAAAAGTATTCTCTCTCTTGAGATGCAAAGATATAAATATTTATTGCATATTAAAGTACATATTTTTTTTTGCACTCTCAAGGTATTTTAAAAAGTTACTGATCTGCTAAAATTTTCTTTTCTTTGAAGTAAGTTTACTGTTTCTTAAAAAAAAAAATGGCTATTTATTTTTGCTATGAAATATAATCCTTTTTCTTTGGATGTATCTTTAATAAGATAGAAATAAGTATATTTGTACACGATTTCATATATGTGATGCATATGATCCGGTTTTAAACTTGAAATATTGATTTCTTAAAATGGAATATCTTGGAAAATTGAATAAAATAGAACTAAAAGGTATTTTTTTTAAAAATGTGAGAACACCTTCGATTTTCATACTGATGTTGTATGAATTTTTGAAATTATATTTTTGACAGAGAGAAACTATTCATATTTTTAAATTACAAAACTTGAATCGAATATTTTATGATAAGATTTAAATGAAAGAATATACACAAATATAAAATAATTAAAATTGATATAAAACTAAAAGAATATTTAATCGTAAATGAATTAATAATCTATTAAGTATTATGCATCACTTTCAATGTTATATGATAATCTTTTGATTAATGAATGTTAAATGAATTATTAAAGTAATTCTAATCATTAATTAAAATCTTTAACTTCAGAATTTTTGTAACTACTACACCGTTGCATGAAATTTATACTTTTTATAATTTCGTAAAGTTCAAAAATATCCCTCCCTTTTTTACCTGCAATAATCTCTCGAGTTTAGAAGCTTTTAATCGAGGAAAATTTATTTTGTGGATGCTATTCAAGCACAATTTAGAAAATAGACTCTCCTAATAAGGAGTATAGGGGTAGAATGAAAATCTACTTATCAAGAAATATGTGCCGAATTTATTATGCGAACGAAAAATACGAAAAGAGGATATATTTTTAGGAATGAGGAGGAAATTTGAATTTAATTGAATTTGATAGGGAACTTATTTTCAAAGGTGAATTATTTATATTTTTATGACATATTTTAAGTTAAACGTGCTTAGTCCACTTTTTTTCACTCATATTAAACGCGTAATTATTGAATTTTGATTTAAAATGTTAGTCCGTTTTGATCAAATCAAATAAAGATATAAAAGTTTAAAAAGTACTAAAAATAGCTCATGAATAATTAATTCCTTTGTGAATAAATGTGTTACGTGTATTTATTTGATATGATACTGTTCCTGGGGCGATATGTGAATGGAAATGTTTGAATGATTTTTCATACAATTATGATGGCATATCAAATGCAAAAAAAAAAAAAAAAGTTATTTGAATAACACACTTCAAATCGCAAATGATTTTTATATCGATTAAAACACCACTGGCTACATTAACATAGCTTAATATGATTTTTTTAATTAATCGAATGTTTTAAAACTTAGA